AGATAGATAGATAGATAGATAGATAGATAGATAGATAGATAGATAGACAGACAGACAGACAGACAGACAGATGATAGATGATAGAATTCTTTATTGGCCAAGTATGATTAGACACATAAGGAATTACTGAGGTCACTAACAAAGAACTCAGAAAAAAATATTCAAAGAATAATTAATTTAGTGCTCTCACCATACGATTTCCCCACAGGGAAAACTGACATATGTTCTCACATTCTCTCACATTAAGATATTTTGTATTCAGATTGAATTCAATATTCACAGCAGCTTCTTTATACATGGAACAGATTGATGTTGCTTTTTCTTCAAATTAGAGAAAAGGCCAAACAACAGCTTGAATTGTTGTTTTTTTTCTTTTGCTACAGATTCCAAGTGGTGGCCTCACTGAAATTTGCCGAAAACCTGTATCGCCTGGAAATATCTCTTCTATAACTGATTGGCTAGTTTCTGTTGGCCTTCCAATGTACTCAGTCTCTCTCAGAGCTGCAGGAATCAATGACTTAAGTAAAGTGCCTTCTCTGTCACAAACGTCACTTCATGAGGCTGGCATCACTGAAGAGAGGCATATAAGCAAGCTTTTAGCAGCAGCGAGACTTCTGAACCCAGAAACAATTTAACTCATTCTGGAATATAGTATTTTTTTTTCTGTTGGAAAACCTATCATTTCTTTAAAAGCAATTTCATCATTAATTGCTCTCGAAAAAGCTTTGGGAACAGGCAAACCTGGTCCTGGAGAAGACTGGAGTTCTTTGCGGTTTCATCCCTCTTCATATAAAACTGTAGTATCAGCTGTCCACAACAGGGAAGTGGTATGACCCTAGTTTTTCCTCAAAGAAAAGGCACAAGCAATAGTTTTCGTTTGCTAAGGACTCTTAGCCTTGCTTTTGGCATTACAAAAAAGGGGATCATTCTACATTCTTGAAAATTCAACAACAAACATCTTCAGTTTTTGGGGAAAGGGGTTAGCAAATTGTAGATCTCTAGATACTTTGGTTCTATTAAAAGGCTAAAGCATAGCTAACTGATCATTAAATATTTTTAATTCAAATTTATATATCCTATACTGAGGGAATATGTAATCCCAACAAACATATTAAAGATTAGATCTGTTTCTAACAGAGGTTCCTTTCACATCCTTTCCATTTCAGCAATTTATATAAAAATATATTAATAAAGCACTGCCTTCCCAATATAGTTTCCTAGAAGGTGGAACTGGAGGTCAGAGTGGAGGAACACAGCTTTCGAATTTCCCCATAAACAGAAGATGAGTCATGGACCAACAGATGAGGGCCACAATTTTATACCTTTTAGCTGATCTTCATTGCAACTTACCAATTTTTTTTAAAGCTCCTTTCTTTAGAATAAAAGTTATTTTTAGAAGTTTTATTTAGCAGCCAGTTTTAATTTGCCTTAAAATGCTTTTGAGCAGTTTACTTACCAGTCTTCAGATTTACAAGATACTTCATTGTTGCAGTTTTAATTTACCAATAGCTTATTTTAAAGATTTCCTATATCTCAACATCTCCTTGTGTAAAGTTGCTGTTTTTGAAATTGCAGACTTTAGTTCTCAGGCTAACAAGATGTTTATAGCTGTTAATGTTTGCTGGCATTACTAAAAGGCTGAAAGATATTTTGCCTTTTGTATGTACATAGATATATATAAATATGATAAAATGCGTTTTCATGTTAATTGCAATTTTGTGTATTGTGATGCATTGTTGTTTGGTTTGCAGCAGCTTTGACTTGGTATCCTGACCATATCAGTGGGACATGGGTTGTTCTGTCTTCCCCAAAGAAAACCTAACTGGCTGAACAAGCAAAATATCACTCATCATCCAGAGAATCAGAAAAGGAATTCTATTTCAGTGAGATTTGGGGTGGGTGGGGGGAACTCTCAAGCTATAATTCCTGTAAGAGTAGCTAAACATGTCAATTATTAGGTATTGAAATGAATTACTAGAATGGGTTGCTGAAGCAAACTGTTTTTGTGTTTTTCTTTGTGGTACCATGTTCTTGTTTACTAAAACTATTAAACTATACAATGTAAAAATCTCTTCCTTGTTTCTGTGAATATAGATAAACTTTATTTTTGTACATGATTGGGCATATTATATACCAAATAAGCTTGACACTTCGATTGTCCAGTAGTACCTACTAACTGCTAATTAGCTATAATAATGAAGGCTTTTCAGGATAAGTGATGCCCCAATAGTTTGAACGTATAACGGACTCAGTCTGACCCTGGGAACATGAAGCCTAATTTCAAAATAGTTTCTCATCACCTCTTTGTGCCTCCCATTGCATTCATTACCTCTAAAAAAGAAATCGTTTTACAACTTCGAAAAATGCAATATTCAGCTAAGAACATTTCTGCAAACCATAATTCTGCCTTTCCAAGAACTCTTTCTCAACAGATATCTTCCTCCTCTTACTGTCTTTAAGGTATCAGGTATTTGAGGACTTTTACTTTAAAAAAATCTTACCATTCCAACCTTCTCTATTTTATTAGTTTATTGTGATAAGCACAAAAGTGATTAAAGATTTCTACTCACTAAAGGAAAAAAGGACTATGGTCTTTCTTCTCATGTACAAATTTATTGCTTTTTAATTAAATTAATGGACGACTATATATGCAGAGAAATGTGCTCCGCATGTAGATTGTGTGGTTATAAGCTTGTAAGATTAGCTGGAATTCTCATTTATTTGTAATATACTGTAGAAGTTGATTTTTTAAAAAAATATTACCACAGAAGCTGGAAGGCATAATATGTCAGAGTATAAACAATGGCACTAAGATTTTACATTTACAGAATGACAAAAAGAATCCGTATTTTATACATCTCAAGAAGTACATTCATTAGGAAGGATACGAAATTGTTAAACTGAGATCAGAAGTGCACAAATCCAATGCTGGTTCTGTTGATATTGCCATTTACTTCAATGTATTGTTTATTCTTTTATTTCACATGCACACAATCCTTATGCATAGAAATTACGTATTATTTAGAGTACAACAATTAACGCAACTGCTGACCATTTCCCTGGTATTCATATTGATTCTGAAAAAGTGTTAAATCGTTTAGTATTTCCATGTTTCAGAGAAAGTCCAGGTGATAGAAGAACCCTCTAGGTTGGAAGCTGTTAACATTAAGCCAGACTCTTGTATTGATCTTCTACGGACTGGTAGGGCCATTTTAATATCCATGGAGGATGGTTTTTAACCAGCAGTTAATCAAAGAGGCAGCACTGCATGCTTCATGGACCTCCTGAGAATTGTTCTAATTATAAATTTGCCTTTGGGTGCAAGTGGTAATGCTGTAAATAAAGATATCAGAGCACAACTCCTCATTAATCTTATTTATGCAAACTGTACTGCAGCAATAACGGTCAGTTCACCAAGTCATAGCTGTACATTTGTATTGTATTATTTTTAAGCCACATATTTTGTCCATACTAAACCCCTAAATGCGATTTATTTGGGAGTTAAAAAAAATAAGCAAGTTATGTAACAACTAACAAAAGTTGCACTTTCTGTATATTTAAATAACTTATTTTTCTCCCATTTACTGTTCTTAAATAATGTAAGTAGATGTAATATACCAGCATTTATATGTTATGGCAATTTGCTTCCATTGCAGAAAGTTGTGTAAAGAGAAAAAAAAAGGAAAGAAAATCTTACGAATGTGTAAAGATTACCGTGCTGTTTTACATCGAGAAAAGAAGCAGCAAAATGACTTCTCTGTGTATGAAAACAAGTCTACAATTATGTACTGTTGTTCAAAGGAAAATAAAATTCATGTTGATATATTATCTTTTTAACGTTCTTTTACACGCTGCAATAAAAATGGAAACGATAAGACAAAAGAAGACTAGAATTTTGCAGAAGTGTTAAATTTCAAAGAAAGTTGGAAAAGTGTCTTCCTTAGCAATCTGGCAGATAGGCCTCACAGCTGTCACAGTATACCACTGAAAGGTTCAGCCAACAGAGATTCATTGGTGATAATATTTGATACTGATCACTTGGGAAAGAGAATTCTGAAGATAGATGTGGGTCGATATATCATTCCTAACCCCTTCATTCCTGGATATTCTCCCAACGAAGATTTTGTCAGCCATGGGGTGAAGTGGTTATTGATTATGAAACCTATCTTGCAGCCTTCTTTTCAATAATTTGTATCCTGGGATATCTCTTGGTATTAAGATTATATTCAGTCTTAATCCATTAAAATTAAACCAGTTGGGATCTGGGATCCTCCAGAGTATTATCGAAGTACAGCCTCAAAGTGATGCTCCCCTGGAAATTCAGTCTGGTTCTATTCTCTTGTCATTTTATTTATACTTGTGTTTTTCAAACTTGGCAACTTTTAAGATGTGTGGACTTCAACTTCCAAAATTTTCCAGCTAATATCAAATTGCCAAATTGAAAAACAAATTCATTGTTTTTCTCACCCTGGCCAAATTATACTTACTATCTCCATAAACGGGCTTAATTTAGTCAGATAATGGTTACTAAACTGAAAAGTTATTGCTTCCGGTGACTGACTTAGTTTATATTTTTGCTCTTTTTTACATAGCATTAAATACAACAGCTAGCAAATGTTCTGTATTTAGTAAAAAAGACAGTGAAAATGTGTATTTTACACAAGTTAAATGAAGTATAAAAAGTAACACATAGTAACATTCCTTTCCATGAAATCACCCTAATAGTATTAGTACCTAGGATAAAAATATATATTTCAATTTTCAGTACTGAAGGCTGTTACAAAAATTTACAAAGATACAATACAATATATGGTGGAAAAACCAGGCCATGGTTAACAATTATCTAGGATCATACTAATTTATATACTGCTTGGATTGAATGTATCAACTGCCATTTTGCTATTAGTTTGAAATTTTCCCTGGGCTGCTTATCTTATTTATAATATCTTTTAATATTTACACAAATTGCAGATGGCTTCCAATGAGGTAAGACGTGACAGTAAAACCAGAATATAAGGATAAAATATAGTCAATTTCAAGGAAATATTTTTTTAAAAATAAACTTCAAGAACTTTATTAAGCAAAGCCTTCACAAGTAGACAACGCTAAATGGTTTCCCTTTTTAGCAACCAAAGTTTCAGTGACATTGAAAAAATAACTTTACAACCAGTCCTCTTACAGTTTACAACTGTTTTGTAGTGTCCCCCTCAAGTCATTGAAATTCAAGTATTTAGCAATTGGTGGCCATTTACCATCAATACAGCAGCCCACAGTCACATGACTGACACTTGTGTGAATCACAGCCAGCGTCTGATAATTAATGGAGAATCTGCTAGTAAAATCGCAAATTGCAATCATGTGCTATCTTAAAGACAGTGACTTCATTACTCCGTTGTGGATTTCTGGGTTTTTTTTTAATATCAGTTGCTTAGTGATTAAGTTTTTGCCAGTCTCAATTGTGGTCCTTTAGCGAGAACTACCAGTATTAAGTTGTAGAAGATAAGACGTGAATTACCATTTATCTACCAATAGTAGGATGTTCCATCGTTAAAGAACACTCTCAGAAAAGCCCCACTTTCAGTCAAACAAACCTGTCTTTCAGATTTAGGCAACTGTCAGGCAGCCACTTCTCAACTTTTATCAATCATAAAAAAAGGAAGCAATCAGCAGAAATTGTAAGCATCTTTCCTTTGCAAAGTTAGTTTGACATCCATCTTCATCCCTGACTCAGCAGTTCATTCCGGCAAGAGGGCAGGTTTCCAGCAAATGGAAAGAGGGCATTCCCTACAGGCATTGTTATACTTATGATACAGCCACAGGCTGTATTTAAGCTACTTTTCAGTAACAAAATAGAAATAAAAAAACAGCATGACAGTAACAGTCAATTCTTTCCTATGTTCTTTTAACAAGGAATAGTTATGTCTTCTGAAGAGGCTGCAGCAGAAGTAATTCTGGAATCTTGTCAAAATGAAAGTATTTTCTGCTCCTTCTGTGATGGTATGAGCCTGATAAAATTTAAGCAAAATCACTAATGTGCATTTATAAGAATATAGAGAAGTAATGAAATTGCTTTCAGAAAACCATCTACAAATATTCTGGTTCTATGTTCTAACACGGGGGTGTCAAACTGGCAGCTGGCAGGCCGGATGCATCCTGTACAGGCCACACCCATCCCAGCTCCACAAAGGGGGGGGAGTCGCAAAATGCCACATGACGGCAACGTGATGCAAGTTTGACACCCGTGTTCTAACAGAAGTGAGGAAATGCCTTAATGATCCTTTCAAGTAACTTGATATAATCCAGATAATCATC